AACTGTATAGTTAAAATACATTAATTCTTAAAAAATCTTCCTCCCTGCCCCTGGATATTAATTAAACTAACTACATATAGTTATGATGAGCAAGGGAGCCTTTTCCAGAATTATAAATTTTAAAGCCCCTGACTCGTGGGTACCGTTGATGAGTGGGACTCTAATTAAATACTGTTATTAAATTAATTAATGCTTTGAAATTTGTTCTTTGGTAAAAACCATTTTTTATGAGCAAGGGTGCCTTTCCTTAATTGTGAAATGTATGATCCCAGGATGAGGGTTTTTGTGGTAAATGGGGACTACTAATTATTATTAATTATTACTGATTGTTTGAAATGCACATTTTTGGTTCCTCTACGCTCAATAAATGTATTGAGTAGCCAAACTAAGCATGCTAAGTTTGACTGATATACTTAATATAGCTATAACTTTTACATTTTTTGATGAAATGCTTTGAAACTCATTACATAAGGGTATATTAAAAGTGTAAACAATATGACACTTTCAAATTAGCATGAACTCACGCGCATGCACGTGCGCCTTCCTCTGATTGGCTGAAACAAAAATCTCAATATCTCTTTTGTTTTCCGACGAAATGCTTTGAAATTTTTAACATTGACATGAATTAGGATATCCTACAATATAATATGGAAAAAATTTCATGAAATCACGCGTATGCACGTGCGCTGCAATCTGATTGGCTGAAACTCTAAATGGCTATATCTCCTTTATTTTTTGACGAAATGCTTTGAAATTTAAATCATAGTCATGCATTAGGATATCCTGCAATATGATATACAAAAAATTTCAATAAATCACGCGCATGCACGTATGCTGCAATCTGATTGGCTGAAACTTTAAATGGCCATATCACCTTTGATTTTTGACGAAATGCTTTGAAATTTAAAACATAGTTATGCATTAGGATATTCTACAATATGATTTAGAAAAAAAATTCTTGAAATCACGTGGATGCACGTGTGATGCAATCTGATTGGCTGAAACTTGAAATGGCTATAATTCCCTTGGTTTTCAACCAAACAGGATGGGATTTAGAACATAGATAAATATAAGGGCCTCCTACAAGAAGGTATGGTCATCATGCACGTGCACGCACGTGCGTGCATTTGGAACGAGTGAAATTGAAAATACACTTGAATGAGTGATATTTTATACTTTTGGACTAAATGCTTTCATATAAAGTATATTTTAATATATAGAAAGTGTAGACAAGATTATATGATCACTATGCACTTACATTCACATGGGCACACGTGGAATGTTAAAATTTGAATATAATTGGTATTCTTATGGGAAAACGTTGTTAAAGTAAAAAATGCACACATGTTGTCTTATTTAATAAGGCTTACAAAGAATATGGCACCAAAAGGGAGTTTGGGAGCGTTTGGGGAACATCTGTAACGGTTCCCGTTACAATTAGCACTAGTTATTTATTGTTTTATTAATAAAGTTTTATTGTGAAAAATTCTGGTAGTAACACGTAAATTCTTGGAAATCAAAATTATATACAAGTAGGCTAAGTAAAGTCCTTTATCATAGGGTCATCAAGTATGCAACCAGTGTATGAGTTTATTCGAAGAATATGGATTATACAGAATTCATTTTTTGGGGGGCGTTCACTTCGTAAATGGGAAGTAGAAGTTCTCGTTAGCCGCGTTAAACCTTAAATGTAAGCAAAGGTAGATGTGAGGTTGAAGTTTTGGTGATCATATTTAAGAAATAAGGTATCATTTTTAAACATCTATCGGGATATAAATACGGGTTGGTCACGAGATTAAATTCTATAAAGCCCGAAGGGCTTTTATGATGAATTTAATCTCGTACCAACCCGTATTCATAGCCCGATAGATGTTACCTAATGATACCTGATTACTAATATAACCTCTTGACCCCGTACCGGTATTTATATAGTTATAGATACGCATTGCTTTCAGTATTGTAGTATAAAGGAAAACATTTGCAAATGTATATACCTGAACAGGTAGACAACTGACTTTATGGAAAACAATTTGTCCTGCACTTTTTCTTATTTGTCTGTAAAAAACGAATGTGGACCTCACCTTTTTGCCCAAATAAAGACAGTTTGGTTATCATTAAAAAAGTAATTAAAAACTACCTAAAATCATCGAACATCGGAGATGTAGCATCAGAGGGGCATTTAATATGCCTCGCCTCCGAGCTGGTATTTTTACACTAGCAGGGGATTATTCTATCTGTCCCTTCCACCAATACTCCCACAGATGGAAGAAGAAACATGCTGTTTACACCAACATCACAGTTCAATTGTCACCGTAGAGGTCGGGAGGAGCATCACAGTAACTTTGTCACAACACTTCCATACAGAATTTTTCACTCATATGGAGAAGTCACCATTGCCGGTGGAGAGTTGCAAACTTTGTCCTTTACTCGGCACTCAGGGCCATTGAGCAGGGAGGGATCTTTTTCATGCCAGCACCTGCTGCGACTCAAACTGCCCGTTAAAGTCTATCGGCGAAAAAAAATCTTGCCAAGATCTCTCTCTGGCCACAAGTCAACTTCTCTCCATTGGCGTGCAATAATGTTAAACCATGTGATACAGATATTAGACACCAAAAACTCAGTGCTCTATGCTACAAGCCTAATCTTCTGCTGACGAAACTTGAACAAAGTTAAAATAAACTTATCTGGGACACTGACATTATCCACTTGAGCGTACTAATAATTCAGATGGTAAACAGCTTCACCAAGTGTCTGCAAAACAAATAGTCCTGATACATGTAAAAAACGAGATGTTTGTAAAACACTTGGAATTTTTCTAAGTCCAAAAGGGCATAACTCTGACAAAAATAGCGCGAGTGTACCCAGGACTTGGCCTAGATATTCATCTGATCCCTCTGCTCGACATTTCACGACTTTTTTTTTTTAATTCCAAACATTGATTTTCAGCAACAACTATAACATTCAATTCAAATAAAAAATAGTTTGAAGTATGAAGCGTTGCTTACTTTTCAGAAATGAATGATATGTCAAATCATGATTTGAAGAAAATTTGATATGGTCATTAGAAAGATCAATTATTTTTAATCTCACAATTAAATTAGAAATATGAGGTATATATAAAAATAATATTTACTCTCATACCTATCTAATCCCCTTTAGAAAACATACTGGAGCGATGCTTTTTAAATCAGAATATCAAATTGTTTTCTGTGCATGTAAAATAAAATGCATCCATAAACAAGAGTTATCGTTCCATTATCGCCCTTGAAATTCTTTTTTAATGAAATAAAATATTAATTTAATGTTTATAAACAATTCTGCGGCTGTTATTTCTGTACAATTAAAAGACTTACACGTTTAGAGATAGATTTTCTATCAATTTACATCGTTTAAAGGAACTGAGTATAAATGTTTTAGGTAAACTATTAAAAATAATTTATAAATATACTAGCAATAGAACTAGAAATCAACCTCTGAACGATGGGTTAGGTTTGCTTGAGTTAACAATAAAATGGTCGTTATGATAGAGATCTGTACACATCTGGCATGACAGAATTCCTCAATTTCATGACAAAATGTCTGCAGAAAGTTATCTTTCTTATCTGTAGAGTTATCTCTCTTATCAGAGTATCTATGAACCTTAAAATTTCCTTACCAGCCAATCAAATTCGAGTATTTTCAATAGAGGTATAATTATCTCTATTTATTAACCATAGTTTTGGGCGACTGTGGAAAAAAAATTATAAGCTCCAATTTCTTACAGAAGCGAAAATAAATTAGCTTGCATAGATTACTTAACCGGGGGGGGGGGGGGGGCTTAGCCCTCCCATTTGTTTAAAAATATACTTAGTATAGACTTAGCCCCCCACTTTTTTTCCAAACATATACTTGCTATAGGCATTGAAGATATCTTCGTAGGTATAGCCCCCTCACTTACAAGATTTTTTTTATACTTAGCCCCCCCCCCCCCCCCCCAATTTGCTTCCGACGCCAATGAACTTGTCAGAATAATCCAGCCCCCTTTGATCTGATAGCACCCAACAAGCAAGCAGCTTTGAAACGGTTGGCCAATGAGGGCAATACTTTATGCTGATGAAAATGAAGGGCAAAAAATGAAGGTTATTGAATTTATTCTATAAACAAAAGCGTTATAGAAGATAGTTTTTTATCATGTTTACCCGATCCTTTCCTGGTCTTCATTTCACTTTTCATTTATTTGAGCAAACACTCACAGCATTATATTAAGGTCTAATGAAATGTTCCCAAAATATATTTTCCCCAAATATTGCTTTTAAAAAAGTTTCCGTGAAAAGAAGAGGGACCTTACCAGGATATAGACTAAGATACCAGAGAATCTTTTTAATCGATTATCATGGTAATGCAAGATTTCTTGGTCAGGATTAAAACAAATTTGAATTGGCTCTACACATTGGAATGATTGCCTATTAGGCACACTCCTAAGTACCACAAAATAAATTTCTAAAAATTGCACATAAACCTTTTACATTAAAGTGGAAGCTTTTAATTTTTTTTTGTTCATAATGAAGAAAGATTACTTTGATATATTAGCTTTTAATTTATTAATTTATTCATTATTCAATCTCGTTTTTACACAAGATTATCAAAACAAATTTGCAATTGCTGTTACACAGAGAACAATAGACAAACATACGCTTACTGTGTATAAAGTCGTTAGGCTAGTTTATCATCCTTTTTAGCTTCTTTAAAGATGTGACTAAATCTAAGAATGGTTAGCTATTTATACGCTATTAGCATATACAGTATTTCATGCAGAAAATCTAGCATGATAATTCATACATGCACATCACACATAGTATGTCTGTAATACAGTCTTTCAATCAAAGAAAATATCATTCCCAACCCTCAAATAGATACACTAAAGTTGAAATTATTTCAAATAATTATGCATCATTATTTATTTTATACGTGTTAAAGTGTTAACACCAATTGTCACTCTACACGATTGGTTGTGGAAACCTGATTCCTGTTTTTTCATAATATTAGAATATCAGTTTGTGTGGAATCTGAATATCATACAATTTTAAAGAACAGTATTATGAGCTCATAAATATGTATCAATGTTACAATGGTACTTACCAACAATTTTCAGTATTTTATTGTGATTCTCATTTCTCTCAGTTTCATTCTCTTCCAATTTTTCTGGAAGGAAAAACATATTTTAAGTAAGCATTAAGTGCAGATACAAATATGAACAGTATTAAGCTTTATTTCATATGTTAAATGTCAAACTTCGTCGTCTTAATTACGTTTCAGTCCTTGAACCATTTTTCTAGTTTCTGCATCTTCTTCAGCCTGTTTCCTCAGTTCTTCTATGTAATGGCAGTCACGGACAGGGTCCATCGTCTCATGTCTCAAAAAGTCCACCTCTCTTTCAAACTGGTTCCCATTGCTAAGGAAAGAATCAAGGTCCACAACTGCTGATCTGACAGTGGACCAGATCGTGTTGAAATCAGCATTGGAGAGGGCTGGGCTAGAAGAATGTACACATTGATTTCTGGCAATACGGATTCTCTCAATGTTGGCAGAGAGAGATCGATCTGTGGGGTCTGGATCATATCCCCACCGATTTCTGTGTGGAGGTATGCTACAAATGTTTCTGAGTAGTATGTACAATAAGGAAATGTCCATATCATCATAGTTTCCTGTATAACTACTACCTCTCGGTAAAATTATATTCATCTGTTGAGCTGTCAGACGGGGGAGATCACTCCTCTTTCGTTTGATGACGTGTGGAAATGTTGACGCTGGTACATAATGACGTAAAACATCACGTAACTCATCTGTACATGGACCCAGCAGAAGTCGACAGGCTCTACAGGCATTTGTCGTCTCCTCTGTAGACGCGTAAGACGAGGAGGCCATAGTAATCTTCTAATGCTTTTCTGAAATGTAACAAATAATCCAAAAATTTGATAATAAACAAACACATTAGAACTATCTTAGTAAAACTACACATTGCTCAGGCACTAAGACAACTAGTTAAATTGCTTAAATTAAAATACTCTTCACTGATTTCAGACTGTTTGCTAGAGTACCATACTGCAAATTTACTGACTTGCTAGAATGTTATGTATGTATATTTTTTAATGTCTTTTGTTTGGTAGAAAAGATAAGACTACATCAATTCAAGAATTAAAATAATGTGTCCAAATGAACTTTTAACTTTGTAGTTGCGTTACTTTATGTACACAGTGACAAACCCGCATGCCATATGACATGTGACCTCGAAATACTTCCTCAATAACAAAAGATTTATAAAATTAACAATTCATTTTACTCTGTGATTTGATCGAATGACCTAAATTAAGGGTCCTATTATATCCTAGGAACAAAAAGAATCACTACAGGTTGTTGTACAAGTATGATCTTCTAAAGTTATTGCACCATTAAATTATGGAAACTCTGATCACGAAGTTTTGTGTCAGATATTCTTATTTTTTGCTACGTCAAAGTTATGACCAAAGCAAGAATTTCCTCGTGCATTTGTATTTTTTAAATGTCTAATTGATCTTAGGAAAGTGTCTTCAGTAAATATGTTTTTCTAGATCTTTTAGTTATTGATAGATAGAATTTAATAATATTGAACCCGGTATCATTGACAAAGATTACCATAGAGTCAATCTAATTAAAATTAGATGTTAGATCCCATCGCATACTCGCTATACTAACATCGTTAGTGTAGCGAGTATGCGAGCTGATCTAACATCTAATTTTAATTAGATTGACATAGAGTTGGCTTAGGGCACACTTTTGCCTGTCAAAGAAGTTATGTACAATGCATCCTTTAAAAGCATAATGACAAATCATCATTTTTATTTTCATAAATAGGTCATCATTTTTATTTTCACTTTCTAATTCTGAAAATACCAATTGAATTGATGTCTCCCAAGTTTTCCTTCCATTTTAAACTGGGTCGGGGGTCCGTAAAATCTGAAAAATTAATGATTTTTTTTATTGGGAAAATCATCATACTATATACAGGTTAGGCACACCCCCCCAAATGGTCATTTAGCCCCCGTTTGGTGGTCAATCGCCCAAATCGGCGTCTTCTTTACCTAACCAAATGGTGGTCTTTTTTATTCAAATCCTTTTTTTTAATTAAAATAAAGCAAAAGCGCATTTACTCAGGCATTGGGGAATTTAATTTACATATTCATCGTCCATTTAATACAATTTAGTCAATTTTCAATGTGGAATTTTTTTGGAACTTCGTAAAAACGAAACCCATAATTGTTCGTGACTGCCGAACTATTTGCTCAAACATTACGAAAAATTATTTTGTTCAGTAAAAAATATATTTAAACAAGAGGTGTTAGTCTAGAGAAGTAACTTTATAAATGATCTTTCAATCTGCGTCTATATAAACCTCCATAAAATCTCGTTAAACACGAGCTCCTCGTATCTTATTTGTATGGAGGGCACTAATTGCTATAATATTCATTTTTTCCTACATTTGAATGTAACATTTATTCTTTATTTTCTTTTAGGATGAAGTTACAATTTTTGTGCGACCCTTTGTGGTTTAGTATGCATATCTATGATGTATCTACTATATTTATTAAATATTTTTTAATAAAAAATTTACAAAGTGACGTTTTGCCATTATTCTTGTTTTTATTCCAAGATTATTGTTTTGGAGCGATTATTTTTTCATGAATTCACTGCATATCGTATTTTTGTAAAAGATAAAGCCATTGCATACGAAATAAACGAAATGAAAGCGAATTCTTACCCTTCCCCTAATTTTACTTGGTGAAAATTAACACTAAACTACGCGCGAGATGGAGGGAATTTTTCTTTTTAAGTTAAAACATAAAAACGTTACACTTGTTTACATAGGTGACGATTTTGTCAAATATTTGAACGTCACTGTTCAAAAATGCCCGCGTTGAAATTCTGATTTTTTTTTTTGTTCAAAGTTTAGAAAAATATCTATATTTTATTCCCCGTGAGTTGAAATTATGCGCCATTTCACGTCATTCCAGAGAACTGAACAAAACGATTTTTCTCTCCCATTTGGTGGTTAATAAAGACGCCGATATGGGCGATTGACCACCAAACGGGGGTTAAATGACCATTTGGGGGTGTTTGCCCAACCTGATATAAGAATGTTTCCAGTAAATGAACATGAGAGAATTTCTAAAATAAATCCTGAAAAATTCCAAGCAATTGCAATAGGGGCTAAAACACAAAAACAACAAATCTCTTTTGACCTGGAAAATGTTATCATCAAATGTGAAGATGAAGTTAAACTTTTAGGAATTACAATTGATTTTAAACTGAATTTTAACACTCATATTTCAGAGATATGTAAGAAGGCGGCGAGACAACAAAATGTTTTGAAACGGATTGGGAAATATCTGAATAGATTGGGAAAGCTTACTATATACCATAGTTTTATCATGTCAAATTTTAGTTATTGCCCCCTGACTTGGCACTTCTGTAGTGAGAAAAATACTCAAAAAATCGAGAAAATTCAGTTAAGAGCGCTGCGCTTTATTTATAATGATTATGAAAGCTCATATGAACAACTATTGGAAAGGTCCAAATTGCCCGCCCTAAAAATCAGAAGAATGAGATTACTGGCATTGGAAACATTTAAAATCATTAATAAAAAGAGCCCACTCTTTCTTCAAGATCTGGTCAAAGTTAAAGAAAACTCATATAATTTTAGGTATTCTAAAGCCGCACATATTCCCAGACCCAAAACTACGAGATATGGAAAAGGTTCTTTCAGATATGAGGCAGCAAGGACATGGAATACACTTCCCAATGATATCCGAAATACCACATCATTTAATTTATTCAAGAACTACATATCTACCTGGTGTGGATATCAAAAATGTAACTGTAGTGTATGTAAATACCAGACCATGCTGCCTTTGTCTGAGAAGCCTTCCTAAATGTTTCTTTTGCAATCATCTAAACTTTTTGTGTGTGTATGCTTCTGGTTTTTTGGTTTCTTTTTTCTATTTTTTTTCTCTTCTGTTATTATTATTATTATGTTCTGTGATGTCCTTATATGTGCAAAGCATTGAATAGTTGCATGCTTTTTATGTTGCTTTCCTTGTTGTTCAACTTTCATTTCTGTCAGTGTTTGTAAATGTTATGTACTGTACTGCGCTTTATGGATGTTCTTACTTTTAACAATCATATATTATTTATTCTTCTCAATTATTACTTTAATCAGCATGATTAGTGCTTATTTTAAAAGACTGTGATATCCATCCGTGTGCAAAACAATATATGCTGCTTCTTCTTTTTTTTAGTTTATTCTTTGTGCTAGCTAGTATATGTGATTTTTGTTTTCTTTAGCCTTAAAGTGTAATTTTAAATGGCTTCATTTAAATTATCTTTTGTTTTACTAACAATGTATATTTTTACTAATTTTTATCTTTGTGTAAATATATATTAAAGTCGGTTAAAGAGCTTACCACAGCTCATGTTATTTCTGTTGAATTGTATATATATGCCGACTATAAATAAAAATCATTTGACTTGACTTGACTTGATTGTTTTCCTAAAACGAAAGTAGACTTTAAAACAATATATAATTTCGATTAGCATTGTAATTGGACCTTATCTTATACCTAACGTCATTTTGAACCCTTTTGCTGGCAGTTTATTTGCAAATTTATGAAAACATGTAAGCATTAAATGTGTCTGTACCTTCAAATGCCTGTGCAGGAAAACGAAAGTTCGCCACTATGGGCATTGTTTAAATTTATTTGTTTTTCTGACACTTAAAATCTTACTTGATATTCTTTAATGCTCTACCTTTTTCAAATGATGAAATGAATATATTGGTAGCCTATATTCCGAGATTAAATCCTAAGACATATCTACTAGAGGTTCATTTTACTTCTCTGGGATTTCCACTTTTCAATGCAAGATCGTAGCGGTTGCCAATGATTTCGGCTCTCGAATAATTCACCCTTTCTTTATATTAATATCAACCCCTTATTAACAAATCTACTTTTGTATTCGCATGAGGCAGAACTTTTGCAAAATCCTATGCGTGAAAAGAAGAAAGCACTTGCTGTTGTCTTCAACTCGACATTTAGATATATCCATGTATTGTCAATTAACAATTGTAATTTCCATTCTTTTGTCAATGTGATCTATACTGGTGAGCTTGAAATAAAAAATACCACAGAGTCTGACACATCTGTTTCATACTTGAATATTTTACTTGAAAAAGACGTTAATGGTAATCTAACAACCAAGCTGTATGATAAACGCGATCACTTTAACTTTCCTATCGTCAATGTCCCTTACTTATGCAGCAATATACCTTTATCACCTGCATACGGTGTCTGTATATCTCAGTTAATTTTATACGCAAGGGCATGTTCTACGTATGGACAATTTCTAGTTTCTGGTAAAATTCAAGCAAACATCTACTTTCCTATCCGATGTATACTTGCACATTTACCTCAATGTTACTAGGATGATTCATTGAACATCCAACGTTTAAAAATAGCATGCTGTTTTTATTGTCAACCATTTTTCTTCCTGGGTAACATGTTTGGATTGATTTCTGAAATAAAGAATCAATTTCAAACATTATTATTTAATACTTAAAGGAACTTGGACACAGTTTCAGTTTAAAAAAATAAAGTTTAATTTTTCCATTTTGTATGCTTACAAATACTTTACTAAGGTATTTCGTATGATCATCCAAAATTAAATTTCAGTTGTTGGGGTACAGAGGAGATTTAGATAATGGTAATTTCCATTCCAACGTCGATACAGGTTAGGAGAGCTTGAGATAAAAGATACCAAAGAGTCTGACACATCTGTTTCATACTTGGATATTTTACTTGAAGAAGACGTTATTGGTAATTTAACAACCGAGTTATATGATACACGTGATGACTTTAACTTTTCTATCGTCAACTTCCCTTGCTAAAGGTTATGGTTAGGCTTTCAGTCGGTAATTGAAATATTTGTCTACTCGAAAGATATCGACCGTCAATATGGGGAGTCTTTTAATTTGCAAAGAGAATTTTCAGGAAAATACTTGGAAATGTAAGTGTATATTTGACAACATCTCAATACGAAGTGTCCAGTACAGCAATCTCTGTTGCAATACCTGAAGATAAGAAAGTTCACAAGTTAATTAATAAGAATGTATAAGGTAAAGATAACGAACAGTGATCGATCTCAAAAATAATTATAAACAAAGCTGTGAAGAGAGGATAAACACGGACCACTGGAAATTTCAACTGTGGGATCAGGTGCCAAGGAGGATTAAGCATTCCCTGTTGACCGGTCATACTCCGTTAGCATATCTACTAATGAAGTACTGGTAGATAAAACATTCGTAGCCAACTTTAGTACAAAAACAAAGGCCTAACAATTGATAGAAAACAAATCAACCAAAATACGACCTACAGGACTTTTACGAGAAGCGCTGACTTTAACAGTTGACGAATTAATTTTACACAAGAACAGTGAACGGAAGCTCTCTTAAGATATAAATATTTAGCTCAACATTTAATTCAACGAAAATAAGGGGCTATTTCAAAGCACAGATAAGTTGTCCTTTCAGAAAACGAAAACCATCCTACCCTTAAATCCAGGCCTTTACATATAAGTCCCCCTAACACCATTACTATGACCACTAGAAAGGTTTTCCTGTCCATTATTAATTATGTACATCCGTAGATGATACAGATTCAAATGTCCAAGTAAACGCAACTGTGAAAGTCAGTGCTTTTCGTAAAAGTCGAATAATAGGTTATATTTGCTTACAAAGTCATTATGATGACCATAGAATTTACATCTTCGCTAGCCAAGGGTTTCTGATACGCTACTCTCCTCATTAGTCAGCCCGTGGCTGATTAGTTATGATACGAAGAACTTCAAATGCGGTTTCGTGATCTGGAATTCTGGAGGTGGTTCTGCAGTAAACCATTTCTGTTTATTTCATTTCAGTAAAATCGGTATAACTTTAATCAAGGAATCCCTACTTAATATCAGGATAAGCAGTAAATTCAACTCAAACACCATTGTTATCGAAGTATTTTATTTATGAAAGCTTGTTATTTTACAGTTTAAAACAATTTTAAAAAACTGGTTTGAAGTAATTTTACTTGTTGGCGTATAATCATGAAAATTAATATGTTATACGCAGCGAAGCATAACAAGGTATGAATTTATTTCACGTAGTGTTCGACGCGTTAATTGAAAGTCCTTTGTAAAGAACCATAAAATTGTTTAACTTATGTAAATTTGCATCATAAAGGTTTATAACAGATGTGAAAGCTGTTGCTTTTTACTGGTTTTGCTTCCGATTTAAGCAAATCATTTCGATCCCGATGTGATTAGGTGGCAGAAGGTAGTTTTTTGGTAATCAAAACGTTTTTCTGACGGTTTTCTGAACTTTGAGCTGCTTTTAAAATGTGCAGTGGAAAATTTGAAATTCTCTCTACATGTAATTATGGTATGATCTAGATCCTTGAAGAATTAAAAGCTTTTAGGAATAAAACATGAAAAACTTACATAGTGAGCATTATTGATAGCACAGGGATAATTTCAATATTTTTAAGGTATATCAAGCCTATTTTCACTGTTTCGCCGGATCCGCAACTGCTTCCAGGACCGAGCTTATGTCCTAAGCTACCTCACAAATTGAAGAAGAACTTTGTACATACCATTAAACAGCAAGATATAATGGCTTAACCACCTCGTTTTCAAGCTACAATTAATCCTATGAACACATCCCGATTTTCTGGTAAAATACCGGAAGTGTGATTTTTGATCTTTGTTTCGTATTTCTAGTCCATATCCCATAAACAGTAGTAGATACACACTAAGGTGTAGTCTCGTTCAACCAGACACTCGACTGTCTCCTCAAATCTCTGACCAGCCAGAGAGTCTCGTAAAGAGTCACATTGGCGTTTTTTACCGTTAGAGGTCGCTATCTTGTTTACATTTTGATGACCTCTTTTTGAAACGAATATTATAATTTTTCTAACGTCAACTTCCCTTACTTATGCAGAAATATACCTACATAACCTGCATACGGAGTGTATATATCTCAATTGATTTGATACGCAGGAGCATGCTCTACGTATGAACGATTTTTAAATCGAGGTAAATTATTGACAAACAAGTTGATAAAACAAAAATCATTTAAAAACATCTTTTCGTAAGTTTTATGGTCCGTACAATGACCTTGTCGGCAAATACAACTTATAATTGAGTCAAATGATGACTGATGTTTTTGTCACAATCAATATTTAATTTTAATTGCATTTACATTATGTTTATGGTTTTTATTTTATTTACCCTTTACTGGACCTGTATATTTTTGTTACCTTATTGAACCTCAGTAAAGTTTTGCAGGTATTGGTCAGTTACCACCTATTGTATTATGAGGTATTTAAATCCCTGCATAGCTGACCACGTAGCCGGGGTCCACGTTTTCATAGCTTTTAAATGGTTGACGTACAGTCCAAGATGAGTAGATAAATACTTTTTTCAACGGTAACCATTTCTCCAAAGGGGTAAGTTTGTTTTTTTATTTCATATGTAAATTTTTGAACAATACATTTAAAACGTAGAACTATTTAAGAACTTGAGTTAAGTAATGTTTTTGTTACTATTTACGTATACAGGTTTTGCTGGGTAGAGTTACTCATGCGCTTATTGTTCTATTTCTGGTGCAATGTACGAGGTTATGTACGCACGTAGGCTATTTTGTTTTGCCGCTTATAAAGTCGGTGTTGTGGGTTTAATTGTTAAAACCACTTTTGTTAAGATGTTGTGTATTCTTAACGTTTTCCTTAATATAATAGTGTTCGGTTAAAAATACCGATACTGTTTGTATGGTGTGCCATTAGTGCAATTGTAGTCAATGGTGACTTGAGTTTTCTTTTTGTATACGTAACATGTGACTTAAAAATGTTATTTAATTTAAAGGTTCCAGATGTAATCCAATTATGATCTAGCCATTTGTGTGTTGGTGACGACCTTAACCAGACCGGGATACCCACTGGGAGCCAGTTGGCGGGAGTCCGTCGTGAAACGGGGCGTGTCTGTGTGGACGTGGTTCTGAGCCAACGCTATTGAGGATTATAAGAGACTTTAAGTTTTATTTATTGTAAATAATAGCTGTGTAAATATATTGTGAATATTGGTTTTTATTGATTTTATTTATAGATAAAAAATTGTAAATAAAAAAAAAATCTTGTTGTTGTCTGACTGAACAGAGCACGACGGCTGTCGTGACAAATTGGTGTCAGAAGTGGGATAGTCTGTTCAGTCAGCAGTATTTTTGTATATTACAATTATGTTATTTTTGTTTAATCATTTTTTGTTGTATTTTGCAGTCAAAGAGTTTGTAGATTTTTGACAGTCTCAGGATGTGAGTACTTGGTTTATTGATGGAGCCCCAAATGGAGAAAGCTAGGTTACCGTTGCTTTGTTTTGTATGAATTGAGTTTGTATACTTAACTTATCTGTTGAGATACTAGTATACACATTTTTGAGAAAGATTTTTCACATTTCATTTTTGTTTTGAAAATCAATGTTGTTCTACTGGGTTGTAGTAATATTTTTCATATTTAGTCAGTTAGTGTTTAGTTCTATTACAATGTCGACATTGAAAGAACTTGCAGAATACGGTCAGAGTCTAAACTTGACTGGTGCGGATTAACAGCAGTTTATACAGCAACAACAGGCACATCAGCGTGAGCTACGAGCAGCTGAAAGAGAGAAAGAGAAACAGGATAGGGAGTATCATCTCAGTAAAGAAGCACTTGAAATTGAGAAACTCAAACTACAGGAAAAGAAAGGTATGGAAGAGATTGAGAGTAAATTCATGCAAACTATTCAAACCTTAGAGCAAAAGTTAGCTGTAAAGGAGTCAGAAAAGAAATTAGAAAATTCTAGTAATGCAAAGTTTCCAAAAATGCCTGTGTTCGATGAAGTTAAGGATGATATTGATTCTTATTTGAGACGTTTTGAAAGGTATGCTGCAGCACAGAAATGGAAGATTGACAGTTGGGCTGTTAACTTGAGCGCACTACTCAGAGGTCGTGCACTGGATGTGTATGCACTGTTGCCGCAGGAGAAAGCGTTGGACTATGATGCTTTGAAGACGGCGTTACTAAAAAGGTTTGAAAAGA